CTTTCATTAAAATAAATCCTGAAATTCTTTCCTTATTAAAAATATTTTTTTCATAAAAAAAAGTATCTATTTTAATTATCTAAAATATAATAGGAACGTCATTAAACATATTTAAAAAGATTTGATGGGAATTGGATCTAAAAAGTTAGGAATATAACAACTATATTGAGGACTCCATGCTTCTAATAAACTGCGTCTCACTGTACCTTCTCAAATTAGTACAGTAGTTATCATGACCTACAGCCCTTCACAAGGGTTCATGATCAGACGATCAAAGTAAGCCAATAAATGAAGGAGACATGATCCTAATCCATGGTTTACATGTCCCTCCCTGAGGACAAGTCCAGGCCCCATTCCAGCACTATGCGCCATAGGTCATTTCAACACGGTCCAGAGTTGTAGGGAGTCATCTTTTCGGCATATGTACACAACACACAACCTCATTTAGGGGGCCGCTTCCTAGACAAATATCTATTGTACATGCCGTGTGATGGTAATGATAAGGATTTGGCACTTATCCTTTGACCAACCGCCCTAGGCACAACTCCAATCTCATTAAGGGATAGCCCCACATCAAAACCCTTATCGGTTATGTACAAATGCCCATGGCTATGGGTTTTAGACATCACCCTAAGCCATAACCAATCAAAACTCAAGTGATTCTCAAAATAAATAATGCCTCACAATCTAATCTGTACCACACTCCCACTGGAGCAAACATTTCACTATGAATAGGTTCAGCATATACTTTTATAAGGCCTTTAAATGGCCACATAACCCCAACAGTTTTAAGATTAGTCGGATTAAGACAGAATATATAGTAACAAGTTTAATAATAATTGGAGTAGAAACGAGGAAGTAGTTAAGATTGATGGCTACAAAATACCTAAAAAAGAGTATTTCTAATATCTTGAGTTGATAATCCTGAAAAAGGGAGATATTGAGGACGATGTCGCACATAGACTTAGAGTTGAGTGGAGCAAAATGAAGATGTGCGACCAGAGTTTTATGTGATTGCCACATACCAATGAAGCTGAAGGGGAAGTTATGTAAAACATATGTGAGACTAGCTTTGCTTTATGGGACAAAATGTTGGGCAATAAAAAAAAAAACATACCCATAGGATGAGTGTAGCTGAGATGAGGATGTTGAGATGGATGAGTCGCAAGACAAGAGACGATAGAACTCAAAAAATAAATATATTTGAGGGAACTTAGGTGTGGCTTCAATAGGTTATAAGACCAGGGAAATTAGATTTGGTGGCTTGGCCATATGCATCATAGACCCCATATAGCACCAATTAGAAGGTGTGATTTGGTTCAAGTAGATTGCTCTAAAAGTGCAAGGGAAAGGCTCAAATGGACATGGATAGAAGTAGTGAGAAAGATATACAGACTTATGGTCTTACTGCGGGTATGACCTTTGATTAAGTAGAATGGCAGAGCATGATTCGTGTAGTCGACCTCAAATAGTTGGGATAAAGCTCTGATGATGACGATGGTGATGATGATGACAAACTCTAAACCCACTACAACTAGAAAATAATTAAAGAAATAAATCCTATCAGTTTTGGGAGTTCACTCAAGAAATCCTATCTAATTGGAACCCCATGGTGGTCCATTTTTACTAGGAAATACTCCTAGGGATCCATACCCCTCCTAGAGTTCCTCTAGGTTTCTCATGGGGTCCCTTATGGACCCACCTTGACATGTCATCTCTTGGCTGCCTTGGGTGCTGTGCCATTACTAATACTAAAGATGTCTCTGATACTGAAGATGCAAGGAAATTCAACTTCGGGGTGTTGGAGGTTACTTTGCATTCTACCTCTCCTATTCTTTTACTAAGAGTAAACCAGTATATGGATAAATCTTGTGATATTCAATTTTCTATTTTAGTATGGCCGATGGTCAATTTTTATTTCTCCAATAAAGAGATAAGATTCATCTTGCCAGCTAGATGCCACCAGTGGATGTTCTTCTAGAGGATTTACAACTTTCTATAGCAGGCAATCATTGATAAGTCACCTTTGGAAAAATAATCTACCTCTCATTCAAGTTGTTATGCTGAAGCACAGTTATTTTTAGCAAATCCTATGAAGATGGTCCCTAATTTTGTTGGAACTGTCCATGAGTGTCATGCTCATTTGTTATTTTCAAAATTTAGAAACTTGCTGGAGTATTTGATTGGTGCAAATGAAGTTGAGCCACCATCTTTTACGTGTTTGCTGTGAACTCACGATTCAACAGCCTGCCTTTCAATGGATTAGTTATTCTGTTTAAGATGGAGACACTATTTAAAGATTATACTTATCTAATGATATAGATTCTCGAATGCTGGAAATAATATAAGTTTGCCAATGATTAGAGACTCTGTGCAAAGCTATGAAACATAGGAGATGGCTCCATCTCTTTTGGCATTTTGTCAAAAGATATGTAGGACAGTCCTGTGTGACAGGGCCCTATAAGTTTCATAGAGGACTCCAGTATAGACTGGTGATCCCTATCACCGATGATGAAGAACACTTGTACGTTAACTTGATGACTCTCCAAATTATTATCTTTTAGCCATTAAGCAGAGGTACGGCTTATCTCTACTGTCCAAAGGAGGGTCTAGTGGTGGAAATCCGGTCTCAGCACATTATCCATAGGGCCCTGTCCTATAGGGATTTTTTCCAAAATATTACCACCAGATCTCCTCCACAAGAGAAATTTTCAAGTTCAAGTAGATCTCTACCTTGATTCTGTTTCTGGTTAATCAATTGTCAAACAATTTTGAAATGTGAGTGATACCGATGAACCATATGGATGACAATATATGGTACATACTACAAGTGAATGGGCCGATAGTCCTACATGATGAGTGGCACTTATGCATGTTCAGTGAGCAATACTTGTGCAATGTAAAATACCAATGGATGATAAACAGTGATCATCAAACCAGCATCTTATTTTGTTTTTACAGTCATGTTCTACAACACAAATGCCACAGTATGGAAAGTATTCATTCAGCTCATGATAATTAACACACATGCAAATTATGGAAATGATGGCATCTTGCAACTCATACGCACTCGTTGGTGTCCCCTCTTTCCTATCCACCATCTATTCGAATGACCACTGTAGATTTCAACATGGGATAAACAAAGAATGGAACCCCCAATTCTCAATGAGTTGATGATAAGCGACAAAATTACCCTTAAAGATTTCAACTAACACAGATGCACCACTTTCTTTCACATTTGGTCTTTAAGGCTATTTCAGGAACTTGTTAGTCTTTGGGTGTAAGAGAGGCGATTGGCTTGGAGAGAACTTTCTAGTGCGAATTGTGGTAGGTTGATTGTTGACTCATACAATGGCAAGTTTGTCCTAATACAATGTTCCTAGAACCAAGCTCCTTTGACTTGTGATAGGGTAACACCGTCTCCACTTGTTCAATTTTACTATTATTGATTCACTAAGTGGTCTCTTTGGGATTATACCTCTTCAATTGTTGTAATGTTCCTCATCTTCATTTTACAGACGATCTTTCATAGTGATTATACCTCTTCAATTGATGTAATGTTCATCCTAAATTGTTCAGAGAAGGATACAAGCCAAACAATACTATGAATAAAGCTAGGCCTTCGAGGGTCAAAGTACCATGGTTGAAGAAAATTGTGATATTGTGTCTAACCATTTGGCCTCCCTGGCACTGTAGCATTGACAGGGAAATTGTGGGACCAATTTTGCTTAGGGTGACGAAAAGACCAGATTGATGTAAGAATAAAACACACCATCTTTTGGATCATTATCACATCAAATAAATGGATGTTTCTATTTTGACCTTCTATTTTCATCTCTCTCTCTCTCTCTCTCTCTCTCTCTCTCTCGTGTGTTTGTGAGGTGGAAGGGAGGCATCAAAGAGCATTATTGCTTTGTTGTTGTGATGGTTGTTGTATGGGAGGAGGTAGGTGATTTATGGAAGGAGAATATGCTCAAGAAGTACATGAATGGGTGAATGTAAGTGTGAGATAGAAAATGATTTAAGAGTACTGTAGTAATTGATTCTCAACAATGGAAAATGAGGAGTTCATCCCCTAATATAAAGGTATCAATGTAAAAATCACTGAAAGACTCATTGGGGTATATAAGAAATTATGACATTCAAGTATGTAGGTAGCTACTTACAAATAATATTAAGATTTACTACAGAAATTTGTTGGGCATCGAAGAGTCTATAATGAGTTGCAATATCCTGATCATGATGAGTATACAGTCAACTGTAGGGAACTAGACAAAATATTGGTTTTTGGAGGATAGATCCAGTTCCCTCGATAGTTCCTACTGTAATCCCTTTAAATACTGGCATTGCCCCTGTCCTTTCTTACAATCAAGGTCCTGGTTGGTAAATTGGTGTCAGGAACACTTCACGTGCTTTGTGTTAATTTACAGAGATCAGGATTGGAAGGTGGAAATTGTCTTTCTTTGAATAGCAAGTTGTGCTTGTTCGATGCCCACACTAAGAAGGAATTCGGATGTCTACATTGTTTAGTTCAGTTTTCTAAGAAGGAATTCGGATGTCAAAATTATTTAGTTCAGTTTTCTACATCTTTCTTTGGATTATATTGTCGAGATGTTTTGTGTCAGTCTTCTGATTCTACTCTTCTCATTATTTAGTTGTGATTTGACTGTGGAAAAATCAATTATTACTAGAATCAATTTAAAATCTGTTTCTGGTAAAATAATATTACTGGATATTTTTTGTCACTTAATGAATTTCTTTAGATGGTCCAATAGTAAGCTAGGCATGTCCATGAGTCAGAGGACCTTGGCTTTCTGTAGATCTAGCTAGGGTCTCTAAGCTCTAATTTCTCAAAAGATATTTCATCTGATCCCACCCCAAGTGCCTTATCTTTTTTAGGGTTGAATCGAATCTTGTTATTTCATAAAAACATTTCTCGCGTATATTCTTCTTGTGAACGGCTGCCAAATTTACTTTCTGCAAATCTTTTCTTTGCAAAGGTTACACGATCAATTGGAGATGATGACTTGAAGCCTGCTGTGACTGCAGAGCCTGAGATAACTCAGGTGCGACTGTCAGAGGATGATGAATATTTGGTAAGGATCTCTAATAACCAATAAAAATGATATTATAATTCTATAATTTTGATATTATAATTCCACGCATGAACAGGTTTGGAGTCTTGACATCAGCATCTTGTATTTTTAAAGTTTTCGATTATTCAATCATGGGAATTTCTAGTGCTTGCCTTTGTAGCACCCTAAAACTCTTGGACAGGATGAATATACGTAATTCAAGAATCTTCGACAATTTTTCCTTCCCCTATTGAGGTTGCAATTGTCGAGTTCAACTTGGTCGATGAAATCAACAGTATTTTTGTTTTTACTTGGGATCATTGTCATTGAAATCCAAAAACACGGTTTCAGGCAAGGTATCTACAAGTATTATACCTTTTGTTTTTGAACATTACAAGTATTACAACATTCACAAGAACATTTCTCGTCCATAATGCATCTCTTATCAGATTTTCACTTTTTCAACCTTGACCAGTTCAAATTTACTTCTTATTCATTCTTCGAGAATCCAAGACTATGAGCAAGCAATTAATTGAATAAGGAATTGGAATCCCCTCCAGAAAGATTGACCTGGATGGTGAATGGGAGGACTAGAAAAGAGCTTTGTATATTATTGGGCCGGGATTGTGAATTGAAGATTGGAAAAGACTTTTTATGACCATACTTGTAAAAGTTTTGAGAAAGCATTTACCAATTGTTTTGCTTACTTGGTCAAAACGGGGGGGATTTATTTGACACTGCACCTTATTGCATGAATTAGATTAATAAAAGAATGACCCTTAGAGAAAGCATTCATGTTAGAAGTTTTGAGAAAGCATTACCAATTGTTTTGGTTACTTAGTCGAAACCGAGGGGATTTATTTGACATTGCACCTATATTGCATGAATTAGAGCAATAAAAGAATGGCTCGTGTGCTCTCACTCAGGTGATGGCTAGTGATGGGTTATGGGATGTTGTATGTAACGAGGATGTGGTGTCCATTATTAGAGATACGGTTAAAGAGCCAGGGATGTGCTCAAAGAGACTTGCCACCGAGGCCGCCGAGCGAGGCAGCAAGGATAACATCACTGTTATTGTGGTCTTCCTCCGCCCTGTCTCTACTGCAGAAAGAATATATTAATTCAATCCATGCATATCAAAGCTATCAAGGTGGACCATACTTGTTAAATTCCTCGAGTCAAGGAGCCCATTTTAATTTTTTTTTAATTTGTATGATTTTATTTAAATAAAATAATATAGTTGTATACCATCGGCAATAAAATGAGTTTTTGAACTTTTTTTTTTTTTGTTAACTCTTTTGGAGTTGGAATGGCTTTGAAGGGCACTAGTTAGAAATTGGGAAAAGTAAGTAAAGAGATTTTTTTTTTTTTCGACAATGTTACTAAAGATTTATTAATCAGTCACAGAATACAACCAATTAAAAAGGGAAAACATCCGAAATAAACAAATTTTGCATAGACACCCCTCGTTTTGCCAATCCATCAGCAATGTCATTATTGTCCTTATACACATGCTGAAATGAGATTTGGAGACCCTCGTACATATTCATAATATTTAGCCATTTCCTCTTCAAGCTTTATGGTGGCCTAGATATCTTATTGCATCAATTTATCACATTCAAAGATTCCCTTTCAACAATACATGACATTCTGATATTCTTCCGTCTCACAATCTGAACTCCACACATGCAGCCAATTTCGCTTCATTAATGGTTATCTTCCCACAAGGGCTAGCAAAACAAAAGATCACCTCTCTAAATGCATCTCGCAAAATTCTTTCAACTCCAAATAGGCTTGAATTTTCTAATGAGCTTCTATCGAAGTTAAGTTTGATACTTCCTAGCATAGGTAAGTTCCACCTACCTTTTGGTCTTACTTTCATTACTTTTAAGCATCAAATTATGCAAATTAATCTCAACATCCACTTTGACCACTCCAAACCCTTCATTTGTCACGAGAACCAACTCCAAATTGAATGTAGAATCTTTCTTTTAACCAATTCCACCTCCAGATCTTTGTTATCAAAGGTCCTATTGTGCTCTATCTAGATATCCCAAAAAACAACAGCTCTTACAATCTCCCAAATCATCTTGCCCATCATTGGTAAAGAATCCAACTCCACGATACCCAAAATATTCATATGACTACTCGGCACCATCATCATATGTCCAATTTTTTGAAAAACCCATATCTAGATGTGAGAAGAGAAAGGACAATGAAGGAACAGATCTCCATTCTCATCATTTTCCTTGCAAAGAATGCAAACATTCGTAATAATCATGCCCTTTTTATGATCTTATCCACAATAAGCGACTTTCCTTGAAATAAAATCTATAAGAAAATTTTGAATTTTGAAATGGACCTTCCAACACCGTATTCTCTTCAATAATGACCTACTCCACTGGATCCTATCATGAAACAACAGACTTTACGTTGATTTAACTAAGAAAATATTGTCTTTCTCAGTCTCCCAAACCAGTTCGTCTTCCCTCTCTTTGTGCAGCATAAACCCATGAATATCCCCAAGCATCGAAGTATATTGATCAATCACTGAGTTCGAAACTCGGTTGTACTTCCAGTTTAAAGACCAAACATTTGCATCCCAATCAAAGATTTGAGATGTGTCGCTCCAAAAACCAAGCAACAATCTCCCACCCACTTATAATGCCAAAAAGATATCTTTCCGCTGTCATTCAAAATCCACTTACAACCACCAATCATAAACAACTTGTTTTGAATAATTCTTTTCCATATCAGCGATTTAAGAACACCCCTTCCCCTGCTGCCTATCCAAAGATTATGCTAGTACACTCCATACTTGGCTATTAATATATCTTTCGAAAACATCTCATCATGGCTCATTAATCTCCACCACCACTTCGAAAGCAAAGCTTGATTCACATATTTGAATTTTCTAATTCCCAAACCACCTTCTCTTTTTTGTGATGCAAATCCTCTCCCAACTTACCACATCATATTTATTGCCAAAATCTCCCGAACCTCATAAAAAGTTACGCATCATCTGTTCAATCATTTTGGACACTGAACTTGGCATTACTAAAAAAGACATTTGGTATACTGGTAAATTCACCATTGATGACTAAATTAGAGTAACTCTCCCACCAATAGATTAATGCTTAACTTTCCACAATTCTAGTTTTGTGTTAACTCCTTTTAAAATCGGATCCTAGACCAACTTGGGCATTATGTCTTCCGAGATTGGTAGGTCAAAATAACTAATTGGAAACTTCTCTACTCTACATCCCAAATGAAAAGCTATCCGCTTTAGCATTACATCCGAACACTCCACCCCTACCAAGGATGTTTTCTCAAAATTGACTTTAAGCTGAGCACCACTTCACAAGAGCACATGAACCTTTTGATATTAATTATCTGATCCACCTTTGCATCACAAAACATCAAAGTATTATCTGCATAATGCACATGAGTCACTGTTAAATGAGATGTTTCAGATACCTTAAATCCATAAAATCTTCCCCTCCCTTCTACATTCCTTATCATCAAACTCATAACTTCAGCAACAATTGTGAAAAGGAACGGAGAAAGCGGGTCTCCTTGCCTCATTCCCTTGAGGCCTTAAAAAAGCCTTTCGGGCTTCCATTAACTATCACTGAAAAATGCATCCAAGAAATGCACCTTTTTATCCACCTTCTTCATTTCCCCCCAAAACCCATACATCTCATCGCCTCCAGCAAAACGTCCCAATCAATCTGTTTATAAACCTTTTCTATATCTAATTTAAGCAATACTCTTGGCTTCCTTTCCAACTTTCTCGAATGAATATATTCTTGTGCAATTAAGACTCCATCTGTAATAATTCTACCTTCAATGAAAGCCGACTATATTCTTGAAATGACCAAATTACAGACTCTCTTAAGTCTATCAGCCATTAACTTTGCTATAGTTTTATACAGACAAGTCAGAAGACTGATAGATCTGATATCCGACATTTCTGTTATAGCCTGCTTCTTTGGGATCAGAGCAATATAGGTTGAGTTTATGGTTTTATTCACTACTCCTTTTGAAAAAAACTCATTAACTATCAAATCTAGTTTTGTGATATCCCAAAAGTTTTGAAAGAAAACCACTGGAAATCCATCAAGACCTGGGGCTTTATCCCTTGGCAAAGCAAAAACAACCCTTTTAATTTCCTCGTTTGATGTCATTCCTTCCAAAGACATAGCAATTGACCTTGGTAGCACTTTAAAACCTAAACCATTGAAATTTGGCTTTATCTGTAAGTCCTTTGCAAAGACTTTTTAAAATGGTTCACAAACTCCATCTCACATACATCACTCGTATTATCCTCTATCCCTTTAAAACAAATACTTGACATATCATTCTGATGACATTGAGCATTCGCAACGGTATGAAAAATCTTGGTATTCGAATCACCCTCTTTCAACCATCTAACCCTCTATCTCTGCCTCTAATATATTTCTTCTGAATGCCAAAAGCCATGTAAAGTCATACTCCTCCATTCTATATCACACCATCTACTCCTTCCAAACACATTAAAGAATTTTATTTTGCAGGCAAAAGTGAGTTTCCTTTTTCCATCGGATCAACATATGCTTTACACTCAAAAGTGTTTTTATGAATGTTGGACCCAAAAGAACTCGAGACCATAGCATTAATCCATGTCATCTTTATCATATCAAACACTCCTTCTTCCAACCCGAAAAGGCTTTGGGCCTTTAATATTATCATCAGTACTGAGGCAAAATTGAAACATGATCGGATGATAACTTGTTGAGAGCATTTACTTTAGCCACAAGAAATAACCTCTCCCAATCGCTCGACAACAAAAACCTATCAATTTTACTTATGATAAGGTTTGAATCACTATTATTAGACCAAGTGAAAAATGATCTATTTAAAGGGAGATCCATCAATTCGTGCCTAACCATAACATCATTGAATAAACGCATGGTTCTATTCAAATTTGCATAAGAAGATATTTCATCTGGCCATCGTATCATATTGAAATTGCAAGCAATACACCATGGCAAATTCACATTCAAAATAACATTAGAAAGTGACTGTAAGAACTCTTCCTTCAACACATTAACATTCGGCCCATATACATTTACACAACCATTTCAAACCAACTACTGGACCTTCAAAAACATTAAAGCATAAATAATCATATAACTGAAAATTCAGACATTTTATTACAGATGAGTCCCAAATAGTCCAAATACCCCTCGAAGCTCCAATCGCATCTATCCCAACAAAATCTACCGGACCCATACCCCAAATATCTCTAATATCACGAAGAGAAGGACTAGGGAGTTTTGTTTCTTGAAGAAGCAAAATGTTATGTTTATGATTCCTAACCAACAACAAGACTTCTCGTTTTCTCTTCGTCTCTCCCAGACCTCTCACATTGCAACTAATAACCTTTATAATCACCAGTTGTGGCACAATCTCTAGCGAAAGAAGGGTCACCGGTGAAGGTGGAAATGTCTGTGCTCGCAGAACCAACAACCCAATATGGGTCAACTTCCTTAAAAAGAACGGCCCCCTCCAAGACTCCACTTCGTCTCGCTGCAAATCTAGAAGTTGAACGAGTCGGCTTGACCGCGTTCTCTCCAGTCATCTTCTTTTTACCTTTCTCTTTCTCTTTTGCAGCACTCTGAACAATTGCAGCCATATCACTCTTACATTTTACCTCGCCCACCTTTTTCCTTGCCTTTAAAACCTCCTTGACTGTAGCAATGGGTACATCTAGCATACCCATATCATCTAAAATACTCTCAATGTCCGCTACTGAATCAATGATCTCTTCAGACTCTTTCTCCTTTGTAACTTTTACCTCTACTACCTCAGAATTTTTGATAGGCATCACATCTAAAAGTGGGATGATTTCCTCTTCCT